CCAGGCAATGAACGGTGTGATGACACTAGGTCAGACAGCCACATCTAGTGACACTAGACCAGACACTCTCACGACCGGAGCAAATACAACAGTGACCAAGTCAGAGGCTATTATTCTCACAGATTTAAAAAGTAATTTTTACATCAGCTCAAATCTTATCAGTTTAGACTCAAATACCTTCCTTTCCTCCTCCTCCTTTACAACATTAAAATCAGCTCTTGCCTTGCAAGGACAAGGCCCTGGGTTCCATCCCCAGCATGAGAGACAGAGACAGAGACAGAGACAGAGACAGAGACAGACAGAGAGAGAGAGAGAGAGATAGACAGAGACAGAGACAGACAGAGACAGAGACAGACAGAGACAGAGACAGAGACAGAGACAGAGAGAGAAACAGAGACAGAGACAGACAGAGACAGAGAGAGAGAGACAGAGAGAGATTGAGAGAGAGAGAGAGAGACAGAGACAGAGAGAGAGAGAGAAAGAACTTTAAAATCAGTACCAGGGCCAGTAATTTCTTATGTGAACTATAATTTTCTCTTGTTATTCAAAATAAGCTCTCAGAAGCTAAAACTCACAGCCAGCACTTTACAACTCTTGAGATACTGTGGGGCGGCAAAGAGTCAGAGTAAAAGGCCTCAAAAACGAGCCATGAGGAGTGGCTAGGAGGGCCCCAGTGGGCCTCGGCCCACCCCAGGGTGGGTGCTGCCTGCCAGGTAATTGCTTCACTACCGTGATCACAAACTCATGGGGTTCCGCTGCACTCGTCAGATTAACAAACAGTTCTGATTAAATCACCACTTCATTGGCTCTGCGCACACCACTTTTAATAAGAGGGCAGTGTCTGCTGCTACTACGCACCAGGGCGCACTTGACGCTTAGGCCTCTGGGGCGACGGGAGCGGGGCAGGAGCTAGTGGTGCCAGGCTTCTCCTCGCACACACTTCCACCCTCAAAGCCATGAACATCAAGCAGAAAGTACCAGACGGCAAGACGGCAGAGGCTGTGTGGCTTGGTTTATAAACCTGCACACTTACGCATGTTTTAAAATATCTGTGTGCATATACGTACCCTGTAGCATAAACATGTTTCTCTAAAAAAAAAGGGGAACCTGCCCTCAGATAAAACATGCCTCAGCCAACTCACCAGCTCTAACAATCGACGTCGGCCAAACAAAAGGCGGCTGTGGGCTTACGAGTGAAGTTTCTGATGAAGTGCAAGTCCTTCGTGTTTGCTGGCTTCTGCTTTTGGAGGCAGGGTCCCCCAGGTAGCCCAGGCTGCCCTCAAACTCCCGCAGGCCTCCAGCTGCAGCCTTGAGTGCTGGGATTACAGGTGTGCACCGCTGGCACGCCAGCCAGATCCCTTTGTCACAGACGAAGTTTAATGTCCTTACCCCACACAAGGTGACTGACTCAGCCATGGCAGAGCATGTGAGAGGGCTCAGAAGGCTGGGTAAGAAAGAACCCAGCCTGTGCCAGGCACTGGACACTGTGGGCTCATTTAATCCTCACAACCACGGTAGGAAGTGGGGTGCAACCTGCGGTGGAGACCGCAAGGTGCACGACACACCACACCCCAGTCATGGAACTGCCGCTGGCCAGGCTACGCGGCCTCTGACATTTCCCAGGCTCCCTGCAGCTAGGAGGAGTCCTGCTTCTTCGTTTATGCCACTGGAAATTGGGCAGTTTGGGGGCTGGGGTGATAGCTCAGTGGCATAAGCACAAAGACCTAGATTCAATCCTGGTACTACATGCTGTGAAGGTCCTGCCCTGGGCCCACCAAGCCAAAACCGGGCATGATGGCACACGCCTGTAATCCCAGCACTAGGGAGGCTGAGACAGAAGGATCACTACAAGTCTGAACTATGTAGCAAGACCCCATATCAATAAAAATAAAAAAGAGAAGGCAGTTTGGGTCCAGGACCCTTAAGATGGTAGGTCCCCTCCCAGACTCTCCATTATTCTAGACCAGGTCTTGACAAACCTGTGGGCCCAACCTGGTCTACTGCCTGTTTTTGTAAATAATATTTTACCGGGGACACTCATTATCCAGTGCCATGGCTGAGTGCAATATCGAGTGACCCAGGGTGTTTATGTTCTATAAAATTGATACGACCATTAGATCACTAAACACTTAACAGGTTAGGTTCCCATGAGCCTCTGGTCACAATTTTTCACCAACTGAGCCACCTAAAACCTTGTCTTATGTGTGTTTCATTAAAAAAATCTTAGCTAATATAGTTGGTTCCTTAAAGCTAAACCCTTGACCGACAGCGTCTTATAGTCTGCAGTTATGTCACACCTAAAAAAAACCAGTTTATTTAGCCAGAGAATGCCTGTATTCCCAGAACTCTGGGAGGCTGAGGCAGAACAATTCCAAGTTCAAGTTCAAATTCAACCTGGGAAACAAGAACTGCAAGACCCTGTCTCAAAATAAAATATAAAAAGGCTGGAGATGTAGCTCAGTGCAAAGGCCCTGGGTCCAAGCCCCAGTAACACACACACACACACACACACACACACACACAGTTTATCTGAAAAAATCTATTTTCTAAGTCACTTCAAAGCTTTCTTGCATTTAGCAACACTAACATTTCAGCGCTATGCTTGGGGGCCACCTAAGACAGCAGAATTAACAGTAGGAAGCACACAGAAAAGCAAAATAAACCAAAACACAAGACACTAAACAGACCCTACAAAGGACATTTGTTTACAGTGTAACAGCTCACACAGGAAGGGAGAGCACTGCTTGTACAACTTCACCTGTAAGTGTGGGTCCTGGGGGACTCCATTTGTTCCTGCTTCTTTGTTTTAGCCCATGGATGACTGCACAACACTGCAAGCACCTACCTGGCCGACACAAGGTTCTGAATTTGATCTCAGGTACCAGCCCCGCTAAAAAACCCCAAGCCCCCCCAAACCACTGCAGATCCCAAACTAGGGCTACAAATACATGTTAGCTAGGAGGTATATTTGTAAACAGGAAATCTATGAATCGGAAGAATCAGCTATTGTTCTAACACAGACGTACGGCCCATGAAGCCTAAAATATTTATATCAGCTCACTCTTTACACACAGGTCTGTGGAACCTTGCCCCAAAGTGCCAGACGACAAACCTTCATTTTTGCTTGTTTGTTTTCAATACTAGGGATTCAACCACAGGTGTCCACATTGAGCTACAACTGCCACCATTCTTTTCTTTTTTTCTTTTTTTGTGGTACCGGGGATTGAACTCAGGCCCTTGCACTTGCCGGGCAAGCGCTTACTCTACTGAGCTATCTCCTCAGCCCCCAGCCATTCATTTTTAAAGACAGAATCTTGCTAAGTCACCCACAGTGGGCTCAAACTTACAATCATCATGCCTCAGTCTCCAAGAGGCTTTATGGGATTACAGGCCTGTACCACCACACCAGATAAACTTTCATGTTCTTTTCTGAGACAAAGTCTTGCTATGTAGTATTTCAGGCTGGCCTTGAACTTGTTGTGTAGGCTTGAGTTGGTCTCAAACTCTCAGCCTCAGCTTCTTGAGTGCTGGGATGATAGGCATGGGCCACTAAGCCCAGTACTTGAAGACACTTGAATTTGGGGGTTTCTCTGTTGTAGCAGCCGGTGCCCTAACACAGGCTGTAAAGTCTGTGCCTTTCCTATTCCCCGGTGCTACCCCCTTCACCATTCCAAAAGCTTACTGTCTTTTGGGAGATTTCCAAAAACTTTCCTCGACCATAGGCATGAATATTTCCCAAAGGGCGCCACTAAATCCCCTTGCGTGGGCTGAGGGGACAGCTCAGGAGCTTAAGCACCTCCCTGGCAAGCACAAAGTCCTGAGTTCGATCCCCAGTACTGCATGCTCTGCCAGCCCGGCACCAGGCATGGTGGTGCACACCTGTAATCGCAGCGCTGGGGAGGCTGAGACAGGAGGATCGCTACTAGTCCGAACTGCCTATTGAGAGCTTGTATAAAAAGAAAAGAAGCAGGAAAAAAAAAAAAAAAAAAACCCTTGTACCCACACAAGTGTGGCTTGTTTAAAATACAGAGTCCTTTTACAAGGTACATCCATCCTGTACTGAATAGCCTGGGCTTGGGCTAGGGGAAGACGTCAACTCTCCCTTTCAAGAGGCAATATGCAATGTATTAATTATTGAAACTGTGGTAGTAATCGGTTTTGAAACTGTCCGAGACTCACAGAACTGGGGAGCAGGAAGAAGCCCAACAGCCTGCACCCCACAACTTCTGGGACGGGAAGCAGGCGCACCTCGGGAAGACACCTGGGTGCTCCTTTGGGCTCCATCGCCTCTACTGCTCCAACCTGGGCTCAATTTGAAACCAGTTTCTCATTTGCACCCATCTCGCGGGCTTGCAGGGAGAATTAACAGGGAACACGAGCCAAAATTGCAGACAGCAGTTACTCGGTGTGCACGAGCACATTACTTTTCTTCTTATCTTTCTGAGACAGTCTCACCGTGCAGCTCTGGCTGGCCTTGAGATCATTTTGTAGCCCAGGCTGGTCTTGAACTCGCGAACCCCCTGCCTCGGCCTCCCGAGTGCTGAGATTGCAGGCCTGCGCCACCACGCCAGGCCATGCGCTGCTTCTCTCTCTACAGGCGCCCTCTCAAGGCCGTGTCCCATCCTCAAACTCTGGGACCACAACGGAAAAAGTTCCCATCTCAGGGCTAATTAAGCCTCCCCCCCGCCGCCGCCCCTATGGGTTACGCCCCGCTTACAAGGCTCCCTTCCGGTCCTCCCACTTCGAGGTCCCTCCCAGTGGGGTCCCCTCACGAGCGTGCCGCGTCTCCTCCAGGGGGACCCGCCCGCATCCCCCGGCTTCCAACCTCGAGCTCCCGCAGCGACCCTCACTTCCGCTCCCCGACGGGGGCCGCCCCTCCTCACGTCCTTCCACCAAGCCCGCGTCGCCTCGCGTCCTCCCTCACCCTTCCTCCCTCCAACCCTGTGGTCCCGGTACCCCGCAGCCGGTAGAAGGTAACCGGCCTCCGCACCTCCCCTCACCTCTTGAGCGACGCCCAGATTCTCCCGCTTCTTTTTAGTCATGTTGCTTGCCGGGAGCCCCCTGGTCCTCGCTGGACACGCCCCCTCGAGTCGCACCACGCACGCGCAGATCTCCGTGCTTCTCTTTCATTGGCTCTCGAGACCGCGGGAGGCGGAGCTATGTGTGGTCGCCATGTTGTTGAAGGGCGCCGCCATGCTTGTGAGGGGCAGATCCTAATCTGAAGCCTCAATTTAGGGATGGAAAGAAAATAAGACCTGGGGAGGAACAGTGGTTGATCCGCCCATGTGGAAGGCGTTTATTTACATTATATTACTGTAACCTTTATTTTCTCCTGTGGTACTGGTGATTGAAGCCATGGCAGCTGCCCTCCCCATTTTAAATTTTGAGATTGGATGTGAAATTTTCCAGACTGTGTTTGGATTTTCAGACCTCCTGCCTCAGCCTCCTACAGTGCTGGGATTACAGGATCAAGAGCCTTTGTTTGTTTGCTTTTTGTTTTTATTTTTTTTTTTAATTTTATTTATTTATGTGTGTGTGTGTGTGTGTGTGTGTGGCCAGCTCAGCCCACCAGGGGGCGGGGCTGGCTGGCATGTGGTGCTGGGGGATTGAACCGCGGTCCCTGTGCTTTGCTAAACTTGTTCTAAGTAGGTGCTTTAGACCACTGAGCCATCTCACCAGCCCTGCTTTTTGTTTTTAAGCTCCACCTCCAGTGCCCTTTATTATTGAAGGTCTTGCCCAGCTTTATGCCAGCACCCCCCATTCATACTCTGCCCATCCCTGAGGCCCAACCCAGGCCCAGTTGTTTCTGGAAGCCTCCACTCCAGCACCTCTCTCTGCTGTGGGTTTGACAGGGGCTTTCTACTGTGAGCTCTCTTTTTTTGTCTTGTACTCCTCCTCATTTTTGTTACTTTCTTGTAAAAAAAAAACAGCAGAAAACTTAGAGATGAGAAGGGGTACCCTTCATCTGCCAATCTTGCATTTGTCTCTGTGTAGTCCTTCCAGGGCGGGATTCACATGCAGTATTTTATGCTGTTGAAATCCTGTTGTACAGTAGTACACTGTAGACCTGCGCTCTTAATGTTTTGGCTGACCCCACTATAAGAACTGTTTGTTTTTTTTTTTTTTTTAATCAAAATAACCAACACCAAAAATTCACAGTAAGAACCTTTTGCATCAGTGTTTTCTATTGCCCCTTCTCTTTTTCTTCCTTTTACTTTTTCTGCCATCCCTCCCTGGTCCCCCTGCTGGAAATCCAACCCTGGGCCTGGTGCTAAGTAAGCCCTGCGCTACAAGTCCTCCTGTAGCCTGTTTGATTTAAACAACAACAACAAAAGTTGGTAGCAGGAGATCTAACAAGTGGCTACCCATTACTGGGGAGTCAAGTACAATTTGGAAAATCAAGGTCATAGACATTTTCCATACTTTCAAAATCACTATTGGGATAGTGTCACCAGGTGAATAACTCTTTGTTGCACTGGATGGTTTTTTATAGGTCAGAACCTCCAAATAGTATTAGCACAGACCTCTTGTACAAAGGGCTCTGTCCCACCATATTCTCTCCTGGCCCCCAGATAAAATTGCAGAAATGGAATTGCTGGGTCAACCATCAAGAGACTGGAATTGGAGCGCTCCCTTTCCAGACCGTTTATCTCTCCAGGGGAGCCTGTGTTTCTGCGAGTGAGTAATGAGCCTGACTCAGTGTTTGGGGAAAGCATGTTTTCAGATCTGTGTCCTGTTGGTGATAGAGTCACTGAGTGATGGCGCCGGGAGGGACCTGGGACCTGAGATAGCATCGCGCTGCATCAGGGGGCCCACAGGCGGAGCTGGCAGGCCGCCGGCTGTGGCCGAGCTGTGAGTGCAGTTCTCATCAGCTCAGCACCCAAGCGCAGGAAAAACGTACTCAAAAACACTGTCCATCAGCTGTCAATCAGAGACATTTATTGTCAGAACACTTTGCAGCCTTGGTTCCCGTCCCAGAAAAGCCAGACTCGGTGCTTCCCAATTATCTCAGGCACCGGCCCGGGGTGGGTGAGAAGAGAAGAGAAGAAAACACTGTGTTCTTTTACAACGGCTCCTTCTGTGATGATTTGGCACCAAGAGGCAGCTCCAGAGATCAGGGCGGGCTGAAGTTAGCGGCGTCTTGCTCCCCTCTCCCTGCAGACACACTGGGCAAGCTGTCATCTTTCAGCCCTGCACTCGCCCAGCCAGACCTTGCCCCCTGGGTCTGGCGGTGGCACAGGATATTGAAACCAGGCTGGGCTGTGACTCTGGGGGTTTGCTGCAAAAGGGGTGCTTTCAGAGCGAAGCCAACTTGGAGTCCGAGCCCAGCTCTGCATCGCAGCAGCCATGCATGGCACAGGGCCCTCAGCCTCAGTTTCCACACCAGCTCAGTGAGCACGGTGCACCAGCTTCATGGTGAGAATTACCAAGAAGCCAGAGCAGCCGCTTGGGAGAGACCAGGAAAGACAGCAGGACTGATGGCCCAGCCGCCAGCTTGCTGTTACGGGCTTTTGCTTAGCAGTTGTTGCCATTTATATTTTGTTGTTTGTGGTGATGCTGATTTTTGTCAGTTGAACACTGTTGTGGAACATCTGTTGTTAGGGCTTTGGGGCAAATGCCCGGATGGTCTCTGGCTGTCCAGGTGTGGAGCTCAGTGCCCACCTGCGCCAGCGTCCCAGGCTCCTTGCGCTTGCTGCTGACGCCATCAGCTACATGTGTCCAGGCGGGACAGCTCACGGTGACCCCACGGTATGTATGGGGGGCCACTAGATCCCTTCTACTCACTCTGGAACATGCAGGGCACTGGCTTTGGTTCCTATGGGGGCTGAAAGACAGTGTGGCCCAGCTCTGAGCTGGAAAGTCTGCCCACGGCCAGATGGGTGACTGTGTACCAGCTGTCCGGGTATCTGTCCTTGTTCTCCAGGGAGCTGTGGCTTTGAACCATCTACTTAGGGGATTTTATTAGCCAAACATTTAAGGGAAACAGAAACCTACAGTGGGAGGCCGAAGACTTGGCATTGTTCCTGGTGAAGTTCTTGGGCTTTCATTGTCCCCTTCTGGTAAATGGGTCCAGCAGGAGGAACCAGATGGCCTAGAGACCCCAAGATCCTGTGTTTTCCTGACCTTTTTATGTGAGATGCCCAGACATAAGGCCCCCTTATAAGCTCTAAGGTAGAGGCATAAAGTAAGAGCTAATCACTACCCTCAAGATATCGTTAATCTCATTAGGGAGACAGGCTGACAGCATGAAATAGTGAATGCCAGGCATCATGGAATTAAATGCCAGCTGTCTGGTGCTTACCGTTGATGCATTAGAAGCTCAGAGAGAAGAGTGCTGGGTGGCTCTATGGAGGCTCTGGGTCATGGAGGACAGATGGCATAGGGTTGGGCAGAAATGGGGGACAAGGAGGGGGTCCCCATGTCAAGAGAGTTAACCTTTTCTACTCAGCACTAGCTCAGCTGACCCCAGACCTGGTTCTTTTGTCCCGAGACCAGTGTTCCTGTCCTTTTGTCATCCTGGGTGTGCCTAACTGCGGAGTCCACACTTGGGTTCCCGCCGCTGCCACAGGGAGCTTTGCGAGTGGGGGTGAGGGAGGGCAACATCGTTCACTGTCAGCAGCATTTCAGGCAGGAAATGAAGAATTTCGTAGGTGGTTAAAAATACAGTGGGAGCTGATTTATGTTTGAATTTTGTTCCAGGGCAGCAGATTATAGCCCAAGTTCTGAGGCAAAGGCAGCAGTGTCTTTATGGCCCGCTTGGATCAGTTTTATGTCTTAGTGGTTTTTATATGTGTCGGCTAAGCCAAGATTCGAGAACTTTTCTGTCCCTGTATTTTACCAGGGAGAGCTCATACATGTCACACCTTGCACCCAATGTCTTACCTTATAAAGAAAACAAAGGAAAAAAAACAACAACAAACAATGACTGCGTTTCCTTGCTATTTTGTAAGTGTCCAGTTTTCAATTAAATTCAACCAAATCCAAATAGACAATGAGGGGCTGGAGAAATGGCTCAGTGGTCTAAAGCACCTACTTGAAACAAGCTTGGCAAAGCACAGGGACCGCAGTTCCATCCTCCGGCACCACATGCCAGCCAGCCCCGCCCCCTGGTGGGCTGAGCTGGCCACACACACACACACACACACACACACACAATAAATAAATGTAATAAATAAAAATAAAAGAAAATGAAAAACAAAAAAAAAAACAAAAACAAATAGACAATGAATCCAGGTGGGGCTCTGAAGTGGATATCAGGTGGGAACATAAAAACAGGAGGGCAGTTACCTAAATCCTGTTGCAGATGTAGTTTGTGTGATCCTATGGAATATTCTCAGTGAGGAGAAATTTCTCGTAGAAAGTGATGCCAGGATAAGCCCTGTAACCTTTCCTGGCACACGGACAGGCTTTTATCTTTTTCCTTATTGGTGTTTTGAGACAGGATCTTGCAATGTAGTGCAGGCTGGCCTTGCACTCACTGTATATCCCAGACTGGCCTTGAACTCAGTGATCCTCCTGCCTCAGCCTCCTGAGTTCAGGGAGTCCAGGTGTGTTCACCACACCTGTCAGTAGGTCTTTATCTTATGACTATCGTACCTTTTGTAACTGGACTTGTTTTCTCACTTTCCTTTGTTCCAAGGAAGCTTAGATCTGAACTTGCTGAGGGATTTTGAGCATAGGTTTCCACTTACTAGCATTTGCCCTGTCTTTATTTTATTTTTCTACCCTTGTTTTCCCTGTGCTCTATCACTTTATCTATTTTTATCCCACTGTATTGTGTGTATTTTTGGTAAGCTCTCTCAAATCCTTTATTTGGAACACAAAGGAGCATAAATAAATCAATAAATACATCCTGTGTTTGTAAATATGGCATTTTGTTCTTTCCAAAGCAATTTTCATATCCATTAGCTCTGTGGGCCTCTGTATACCCCTGCGCGGAAGGCAGCACAGACTCAGGCACCCCATTTTGCAGACAAAGAGGTTGAGGTGCAGTACCTCATTTACTGAGTGAACTGGCTTGCAGGAAAAGACGTGCCCAATCCTCCTCTTGTGTCAAAGAACATGTGGACC